TTACTAGAAGCGATGCACTTGTTCCTAGTAGCTTCTTGCTCCTAGTATGATCCAATCGTCGCTGTCACACTCGGGCCCCGAGCAGCTCAAAACACAAAGCTCTGAAGGCATCCTCGGTCGATATGCAGTCGCAGGTGCAGCGGCGTGTGCTTCAATTTGTGTGCTCGCGTTTTGTTCCAACCCCGTTAGCTCCTCAAACTAGAAAACCGTTTGATTCACCGACCAGAAAACGAGGATTGCGACGAGGTGTAGCAGTGAGAAAGTGAGAGAAGACCTGAGTGTCAGTGTCGTAGTCGCACCAGGTCCAAGTCCCTTCTTACAATTCCAAGTCCCTTCTTACAATTGTTACTAGTAAGGCACTTGTTACTAATAGCGATGCACTTGTTACTAGTGCGGCCACAGCTACGGTCTGCTTCTCGCTCTTACCGTACAAGGCCGAACGGATTCGTCCGTTCTGAGGCGGCGAAAGAAAACGTAAAAAGGGAACCCTAGCTATTTAAGTTTAGTTCTAATTAATTCTAAGCAAACATTGTTACTAGAAGCGATGCACTTGTTTCTACTAGCTTTTTGTTACCACGGTGTAATACACCCTGGCGGTCACGCACTGGTTACGCTGCTCGGTGTAATTGCAGGTGTGACTCGGGTCGACTCGGGTCGTTGGCACAAACAAATGGTGGATATATTAGATTGTTGTGCCATTCGCCTTTAGGTTGAAGGCAATTGCTATTAGGTTGGAGGCCATCGCTATTAGGTTGGCGGACATTGCTATGAGGTTGGAGGCCATCGCAAGTAGGTAGGAGGCCATTGCTTTGTGTGAACCTCTCCAAATGCGACGTTTCAATTTTTAATGCCACATCCAATTCCATTCGACACACGAACCTTCATGAACCTATCTGAAACGGGTTCATGATTCACCCGTCTCAGTGTCTCGCAAGTCTGTCTACATCTGTCTACCCCCTGTCGTGATCGACACCGATTTGGCATCCCGTGGCGGTTGGTAAGGTGCTCGACGTTTTAGTTTGCTCAGTTTTTGTTAACTAGTAGTAACAAGTGCCACGCTAGTAGTAACAGGTGCCTTACTAGTAGTAACAATGTTTGCTTTTAGTTTGCTCTTTTCGGAATTCGCCTCTTCGTGCCAAGTGTCGAAATGGGGCGATGTGGAATGAGGTTCCCTTCGGGACAATCACCAAGGCCTTGGCAAAGCTCCGGGGAAAACGCACTTCTCATCTCGTCTCCGGGGCTCCGGCTGGCATGGCCCACAAAGGGTGGAACGCAAAGGATCTGTGAGAGGGAACGCAACAAAAACATTAAAACCATCGCAAGTAGGTTGGAAGCCATGGCTATTGTCCATCAGCTGGAAGAAACGACATGCCGAGAAACATAGACTTCAACTGTAGCAAACGTTCGTTGTGCAGTTTTAGGTCCACTTGACTTCGCTCTGTGGCGAAGAACACATTGGGTCCAAACTTCTTCGCTGAGCGAACGACGTACTAAAACCGTATCATTACAGCCTACAACGCTCGCCTGTCCTCGCCCAAAAACGAAACGCGTCCCACTCCGTCCCTCCTCGCATGTTTCTCCAGGAGGCACCTCATTCAGACTCGATGTGAATCGAACTTGCCAAACTTCGGTGACTGGCACAATTCATGCCGTTTGACATCAACAGGGAAACGTGCCGGCCCTGGCGCCTGTGAGCAATTGGACAAGTCAAAAGGACTGCACAAAGGACCTGAAAAGACCGAAACGAATCGAATGCCTTACAAAGACAATCAAAAACACAATCAAGTGAAACGACAGAATTCACATCCATAATCCCAACAGGATTCTTTCACGTCTCGAATTCTGGTGGAACAGGATATCAGAAACGCACCGTTGCTGTCGACCCCAAACAGTTCCAGGTGTTTGGTGTCTGGATGCGTCTGAACTTCTTTAGCGCTGCCAAAGGCAAGGGCTTCCCTCGACTGCACCACCAAGCGACGCACCCGGACAAAGCATCGACAAGGCGAGGCGCATTTTTTACAATTTTTGTCAATGGATGGTTCCAAGCTAAATCACGTTTGATCAGGCCACGGTGCGATGCATGTTGCGATCCATCGACCTCGTCTAAGGTTTTGGGTGTCGAAGTGCACCGACACGAAGGTGTCGCTACGTCCGCGGATCGGTGAGTGAAGCACTCCAAGGCGCGTTGAACTCGGGCATATTTTTGGTTCGAGTTTGCGCGCGCAATGGTTCAGATGCTAAAGAGCGTGCTTCCTTCGAAAGTCACCTGTCAAGCCTCCCAAGCAACATTTTTTTTCTTCCTCAGGAAGTCTGAGAGCGTCTTGCCAATCCCTGTGGCACAGCGACAACCTGTACCAAACGAAACAAACGTTTCGTAGGAGGTTTCCATGACACCGTTTCCCGCAAGACTTCCTCCAAAAGTGAAGAGGGAACTTCTCCGAGTGATTCTGCAGCCCTGCCAAACAGTTTCGCGATCCAAACCCCTAACAGCAGCCACTGACGTGCTGACATGCCACATGTTCAAATTTTGACAATCGCGGCTAACCCTGCAACAACATTGAACACCTCCAAAAGGACCACGAAAGCGAGCCCGTGCTACAAAATACTGCGTGCAAAACAGCCCTTACTTGAGCATGTGACGTTTCTATATCGGACTTGGGCCATCCATCCCGATGAGTTTGTTCAAAAACACAAACACAAAAGGGGTCCCGCGGTCCCGCTACCAACTAGACGGCAAACGAGGATTGTACTTCTGATATTTTATCCTTCATCCATAAGACTATCTTGTTTAAATGCAGTCCTTGCCCAAACGTGCTCACAGTTGCTCTTGAATTTGATTCTGTCCAATTCGACTGAAACATCGCGACCATCAACGACCTTCGATCCAGCGCGAAATTCTGCTTCTCTCCTCTCTTTTCTCTTTTCAATCTTTTCATTTTGGCGATGTTTTTGCCTAGAGGTTTTGAACACGGCTTAGGAGTTGGCTGGGAGGTGCAATGCAAGGCTGCACAGGCAAACAGCCGAAGAGCTCCGGTGCGTCCAAGCATTCAGCCCTGGCCATCTGATAAAAACAAGCACGCACAACACACACTGTCTGGCATATATACATGTTAGTTACGCATATACATGTTAAGTTTCCCTAAAACTCTAAGTCTATGAGCCAAATCATTAGCGCGAGCTATCCTGCGTCCTGTCGGTAGAAGCTATTCTACTACCTATTATTGCTGCTAGCTACGGCCTACCCCCCCCGCGCGCGCATGCCCGCGCGTGCGAACAAGCCCCTACTAGCTATTCCTACTTTCTAGCGGCCTACCCCCCCAAAAAAAAAAGTAACAATACAATGAAATTGCATGTTCTTCAAGATTCATGTCTCACATTTCAGCGCTGGACACACTGCAGTAGATCCTCTGCCCTCCACCAGCGCATCTTACATCGCGGCTATAGAGGCGTTTTGACAAAGTACATAGGCGTAATACCCGCGCAGGCTTGGGGGTGTGCCAGATTAGCTTTTGCTTGGGCATGTGGGTCGGGGCTTGAACTACAAGCCTTGAGTTCGAGTGGCAACAAAGGTCCTGTTGATTACGGTTCTCATATGGAATTGGTGTGGTTAGGGTTGGTTCCCGTCCCGTCTGGGAACCACATCGCTCGCCTACACCTGCCTGGAACGCAGATGCTCAAGCGCACGCGCTTCTGGACTCTTCCTGCGCCAATCTGGCCCTGGCTTCCTTGGCAACAAGGCGGGACTTTGCACTGCCAGCAGCGGAGGAGCTGACGGTGGTGCGGGAAGCTTTGAAGCGCAACGCCAAGGATATGGAATCGGCCACGCCTACATGCGCAAAGATGATTGCTAAGAACATATCCAAAGCTGCAATTGAAGACATCTTTGCAAGCGGTGATCCCACGCAAAAGCCGCCCGTGGCACAGTTCTGTAGGACTTGCCCGTCATTTGCTGGCAGAGCTTTCCACACTAGACTGGCACTGGGTGGCCTAACAAATTCGAACCATGGGGTTGACCCCCAAGCTCTGGATGTGCATACACGGCTAACGCAGCATTAATTCCATTCGTCGGTGGGTTGGCAAACGCGTCTTGCGGCCCCAGCCTCCTGCGGATGAAGAATTGAAAAGTAGAAAGGCAGGGTTTGCGTCAACCAAGTTCCTTTTTGAAGTACCGCTGACGGGACGATTTTTGGCGCAAGTAGATGGTACGGTCGCATTTCTGCGCCCGCTTTGCGGCCCCCAACCAAGCCCATGACCAACAATTTTTTGCCTGTAGGTGCAGAATTTCTCGCAGTGCTTGCCGCATGTGGAGGCCAAGGGAAGAAGATGATTTTGCGGCTAAATCTGGATGAGACATCCATTGCGTACGCCCCTCCCACAACTTGCGGATTGGTGGTTTCGTGGTGATCATGGAGGTTGTCACGCGCAAGCTCTGGATTTAGTGCAAAATACACAAACAAGACGTTCGTGGCGCTTTCACATACATCCCCATCACCGGCAGTGAGCTTCAAGAAGACATTGAAGTTCCTTGACGAGCTGCCACCGTCCAAGCTCCGGATCATCGGCAGAAGAGTGCATGGAGCGGCGCGCGTTGGCTTCCAGAAAATGGGCGCGGGCCTTCAATGGTGTTGGCGTTTCACACTTAGCACAGGTTCAGGGCTGCGGCCGCGCAGGGACGGTCAACCTGAAAAAATTGTTGGCATCTGTAAACCTAGCCTTTGCCTGCAAGCAGATGCTCTCTATCTACTGCCTTTGACTTTGCTGGGCTGATTGGACTTTGCACCGCTGGTGGCAAGCTGCGGCCCCCTGTTGGTACCCCTGCTGCGCCTGCAGCAATGTGGAATGAGGTGATCCACATATTGCTTCGGCAATACTCGGCCACCCCTGTGGGCAGCCCTGGTGAGTCGCTAAGCTGGTGGACAGCCCCGCGTCCCAACGGAGCCATGAGCTTGGACCGCGGTAAGAAGACAACTTCTTCACAGTTTCCCAGAGATCGCACGACAACGCATACACCTGATACATGAAAGCAAGACACCGCAAAAATCTGGGCAGGTTTCTTGCGCAGCCTTGCCATGGCCACCAGACAGGATACAGCGCGGAAGCGCCGGGCCTCCTCTGACTTGAGGGAGTTGTCCGCAGAAGTAAACGTGCTCCGAGAGCGGGCACTGCACCAGCGCGTCGGCGAGACTTTGACAACCTAGTGGCAGAGGGCCGTGCTCTATATTCTCTTGACCATGCAGTTGACCCGCCTGGAAAACATTGTGACGCGCTACTTTGCCACACAGGCTTGGGGAAAAATTGTTCTCACTGTTCCTTTGCTCTTTTCTGGCCCTGCTGGCCAGGTGCAGCCCACTGCCGCAGAATTGAGAGCAGGTGTTGCGCTTGCAGACGCGCCCAGACCTGCCGCTGCAGCTCCGCACCAACCGCAGGCGATCAGGGCAAAGAGTCTAGACACCTTCTTTGAACCCCGTTAACAATCTTGTCGGTTGAGCTACATTGCCATACCCTGCAGGACCCCTCGTCGCCAGTTCCGATTGCGAGCTTCTTCAGCTCTTTTCACTTACAGCGGTGGGGCCATGGGCCGGGAACATTGGGAAGACTTTTTGCTTTGGATTCGCAGCCCGGAATTTGTGCGCTGCTGGACGGCGACGCTAGAAGCATCGTTGGCTAGCGCCATTGAAGGCAGAACACACTACCTTTATGGAGTTCAACACTTGCGTAGATTGGAACAGCGTGAGCAAGGTCCAGTTTACAGGCGTGACCCCGGACTGCCGTCCAAACAAGGCAAGGGGCCCCAGAGCAAGGCACCCGGTTTGTCCTTGACGCGGAATAGCTCGACCTTTTTGGGAACATTGCATCATCCCGGCAAGAGACCCCAAACAGTGTGTGAGGTCTGTAAGCAGAAAGTCTAGAGATATAGACGCATTGGGGTCCAGAGAGGTGATGGTGGTGATGACGTGAAGGTGGGTGTGAGTGAGTGTGTGCGTGAGTGAGTGCGAGTCTGAGTGAGTGTGAGTGAGCGTGAAGGTGGGTGTGTGCGAGTGTGAGTGTGAATGAAAGTGGGAGGGTGAGAGTGGGAGAGTGAGAGAGTGAGCATCTGAGAGCACAAAGTACTGCGCCTGCCACGAAATTTGCACTTTGAGGTTTACCAAGCGCTGTGCCTGCAACGAAATCTGCACTTCGAGGCTCACAAAGCGCTGTGCCTGCCACGAAATCTGCACTTCCAGGTTCACCAAGTGCTGTCGTCACGAAATCTGCACTTCGAGGCTCACCAAGTGCTGCGCCTGCCACGAAATCTGCACTTCGAGGTTCACCAAGTGCTGTACCTGTCACAAAATCTGCGCAAAGTGCTGCACCTGCCACGAAATCTGCACTTCAAGGTTTTGCCAAGTGCTGCGCCTGCCACGAAATCTGCACTTCGAAGAGCTGTACCTGTCACGAAATCTGCACTTCGAAGAGCTGTACCTGTCACGAAATCTGCACTTCGAGGTTCACCAAGTGCTGTACCTGTCACGAAATCTGCACTTTGAGGTTCACAAAGTGCTGCGCCTGCCACGAAATCTGCACATCGAGGGTCACAGAGTGCTTGTCCAAAAGTCACGATTCATTGCACCTGTCACGAAATCTGAGCTCCTCGACGATCACCACCATGTCCGAAGTGCTGCACCTGCCACGAAAACTGCATTTCGAAGTAAAACAGCTCCGATCCCTTGCACTTGTCACGAAAAGTCGCATTTCTACGTCTCGCCGGCCAAGGACTGTTGCCGGTTCTTCGCGCGTCTTTCTTTCATTGCCGGTCTCCACCTCCCTTCAAAATAGCTGACTCATGGTGCTGCAGGAAGGGACCATTGAAGTTGCCACAACCACTATGCTGTCAAGGGTGCTTGGATAAATAGCCTGTGGTCTGCTCATAAACTGTCCCATGAAACCTATATAGACTAGGCGAACCTGGGCTACCCTTATCTTGACATGTAGTTCGTCGCACATGCTTATGTCAAGTTCATCAATCAAGAGAGCCTGTACCTCGATCGTAAAATCTCTCCACCCATCATCCAAGGCTTAAAGTCTGGCTGGGGTTCATGGAGCGCTTGCGGCAAGTGGAGACCATTCAGAACCATGACAGGCAGGTTGCTCTCCGAGAAACTCAGCGTCGAGTGAATGCTGAGTTGGAAGAAACGCTGAGGCCTTTGAAGCCCGACGTAATTCAAGGTCTGACACCATGCGCGCGGCAATTCGGTGAAAGTCGTCTCCGGTTCAAGTTATTAATTCTTCGTGGCGGTTCCCATCTGGAGCATCAAAGTAAGTAGCCAGATATATTTTTATCTAGTAATCTGATATCTAGCCCCTTCAGTAGTAAAGCAGCGGTGTCACCCACCGATATGTCTTATATCGGTCACCCGCCAAAACGTGACGCGGACTCAAAAGTAAGGTCGCACAGCCCCTAGCTTTCTCTGCTTGTACCACTGTCCCCCGAGTGTATATTTGAAAATTACCCAATAAACAAATACACATCACACGCACGCACTGTGACAAGAACGCGCGCAGAAACCTCGCGTTCCCGAGTTCCTCCTTTCAAAACTGATCCGAGAGTTCTCTGCGCTGCAAAGAACTGCGTTTCAAACCCCTGAATTTCCCTGAATCTGTTCTTATCCTTTCTATCTTTTCGAATCCTGTCTTAAAGGAATTCTCATTCCGATGTCAATGTTTCTCTCTTCTTTTTCCTGTAAGCCTTAGCTTCTTCTTCTTCTTCTTCTTCTGCTTTGCGCTTTTCGGAAACATGGCGGGGAAGGCCCACGTTGACATCTCTTCGTGGCCTCAGCGAAAAGCGCAAGCGAACGTCGACAAGGGACGGAAAAGACGATTGCAACACTACACTTAATAAAGTACGTGTTGCTGTCGAAAAAACAAGTTCTGCTCAAAACTGAAAAGCTACGTTTTTTTTCCGACAGCGAACACCATCACAGTACACTCATCGTCTTATCATCGTTTTGCCGCAGCTCTTCTTGGGTACGTGTACAGCTCCATGACTGGTTTTTTGTTGAGCTAGCCCTATTGCCGCACCTTGCATCGTCGCTGAGCTTGTTTGCTCTGGCCAGAGAGGCTCAGGCCAATGGCGACGGAGACAGCTCATGCTGCCGCGCTTCCCTATTTTTGTGAGGGAGTGAGTCTTGGAGACTGTTCTTGATCTGGTTTTGGATGCGTCGACGGGTGAAGACGGCAAGTCCGAGAAGCTTTTGCATCTATACCGAGCTGGTTATGGAAGTGTCCGCCTGTGGCTTGAGGTGCTAGGGAGTTGGTCGCTCGCAGTTAGAGCTTGCTGCGGGCAGCTGTCATGGACGTTACAACTGCTGGCGATGGTTTGACTGGGATGAATGAGTGTGTGCGTTAAGGCCCAGAGTGGTTGAACTTTGGCAGTAAGGCCGGTGAAAGCTGCTACCAGCCTTTGCCTCCCAGAGCCATCTTGGCTGGAAGTGGAATTCCACTTTTGAAGCATCTCGCCACAAGTCTCACACTAAGCCAAGGATCGACCGATCCAGTATCTGCGAAAAGGAAAAAGGTTATGCGCTGTTTTGACATCTCTTGTCGCCATCATGGCTGCCGTTCCACAGTAGTAAAGGGCATCGCTACTAGGAGCAAGGACGCTACTAGGGGCTCCTGGCATCGGAATGTACACCAGTGCGGCACCGATGCACAAACGACGATATTGCGCGGCGGCCATTGCTTTAAGGTTGGAGGCCATTCGCTATTAGGTGATAACTCAATTCTAATTCAATTCTATGTTAATATAAAACATATTTCTACCTTTACTTCCAATTCAATTCTATCTCCATTCTAGTTTGATTTTCTATTTTTATACACTGCGTTGATCAATGCCATGCGAGAAACGACATGTGACATTGCTAGGGGCTCCGATCGGATCCGCCGTAACCATCTTCGCACTGCCACTCGTCCTGCTCGTTGTCCCAAACGTACCTATGTCTTCGTCACGACATGGAGACGACTAGAAGCAAGGGCATTCCTACTAGTAGCAAGACAACTACTAGGTTGGAGGCCATCGCTCCTAGTAGCAAGGACGCTAATAGTTGGCTACCAGTAGTGCAGGTCTTTCGTTTGTTCGCGAAGGGACGCTATAGGACCCTGCATGCTGAGGAAAACATGCGCGGGCCCTTCTTCCGCAAATTGCGACAGAAACAATCAAACTACCAAGTTGTAGAACCAGTCGGACTAAAGCAAGTACACTAGCTGCTAGCTTGATTGCCTGCAAAGCAGGCTGAATAAACGCAAGTCGAACGATGGTCTTTGGCTTTGTTTTCTTGCGTTGCACCTGTTCTTTTCTCAGTTCCTCCTGTGTAGCTCTGTTCGTTCTGTCCCTCCACTCCTTTGGGCTCGTTCTGACGAAGACTGTCAGCTGTGGGCGCAGACCATGGTGGGCAGGCGGCCAGACTGCCAGACTGCACTCGACGGCGGCCTGGTCCTTGCCTAACGGATGCCTCCCCTGAGGACGCTCTCTTCTCTTCTCTTCGACTGCGGAACCTGCGGAACCTGCATGGAGCAAAGGGCATCGCTACGAACGGAGTTTTTTTTCATCTCTCGCATCTCCTTTCCATCCTCTCTCAATCTGTGGATCTTCTCGAACACAAGATTGGCATCCTTAGTATTGACTGTGTCCTGGACAACCATTTTGATCATCTCAGGCTTCCCAAAGAAGGAAGTCTGAGCCTCAATGATTTGATTCCTAGTTCTTTAAAAGGGGGAAAAGATCGATGACCTACGTAGGAAAAAGGAGGGGAAATAATAGGAAAGAGGAAAAGCAAAGAAAAGGGAAGAACACGTCGTCAGTCGTCTTTTTGCACAACAAAACAATCGAAGAGTGGAGAAAGAGTCTTCCAGCGCGACGTTGACGCGTGGACCGATCTGTAGATACTGACGAAGCGCACCGTTCCCTGTGGGAAACAAACTGACCGGTGAAATGTGAACAGAACGGCAGCTCCTGGGAGTGCAGTATTTCACGTTCTCTTCATTAGCAATAGGCTTAGACTTTGCTACGTAAACTGCACTCTCATATCATTTGGGTCACCTGAACCTGGTAGCAAGCAAGGCAATATTTGCAGACTCTTGGAAGGAGGGGAGTCAAAAACATCGAAAAAACAAAAAACAAAAGAACAAAAAACCACAAAAAAATAACACAATTTCCGGACTCTCTGGAGGGGGGGGGTCCCAGCCAAGACTCTCTGAATATTGTTGTTTTATTGTTTGTATTTTTGGTTTTTGGGTGTTTGTCCACAGGGTCCAATTTTTTTCACAGAGTGCTCTCCTGGTAGTGCAGTTTTCTTGACAAATGTTAAGTTTCCTCGCAAATGTGCGTTCTTTTGAGTCAACATTTATCAAAAAAACTGCACTGCCAGGAGGGCACCCTGTTGAGATTTGTCAAGTTCACTACACTGCGAGGAGGGCACTCTGTTAACCTTTGTTAAGAAAACTACATTGCCAGGAGTGCACTCTGCAAAAGATTCTACACTTTGTGGGGCACTTCTTGAAGAGAACACGCTAAAACACACCAAAAAACAATGTTTTCAAATGCTTGTCCTCTGTGGGAGGGTTCAGTCAAGACTCTCATAAATATACATGTTTGTGCTTTCTCAAGGTGTTTTTGGTTTTGCCCCATGGGGTCTGTATTTGTGTGTTCGATACAAGGGTTGGTTTTTCAAGTGGCAGATAAGTCATTTTTTTAACATATATAAATTTACAATTCAAAAAGCTAAAGAGAACACACATCTCTAGAAAATCTACTTTCCCAAATGTCCAACGGAACACTATAAAATTGAAAGCATTCAAACAAAACCTTTTAATATAGAAGTGATCAATCCCAGAGCTCTGGAGGTAAGTTTGCGCAAAACACTTTTATATATGTTTGTACAAATTTTACAGATATATAAATTCCTATTCACAGAGATCCTTTTCTTGTGAATGCGCAGCTTGTATATATATTTTTTAAGCAAATCATCATGCCCAAAGATCTGGCGAACAGCTTTTGAAATGCACGCTTGGATATTAGTCTTTATTTAATATAGAAGCGATCAATCCCAGAAATCTAGGGAACAGCTTTTGGAATAAACACTTACAAGGTAGAAGGCAGTTTTCTTTAAATATAGAAATGATTATTCTCAGAAATGAAAAGGTAAGCTTTAAAATAGCTGCTTATATACATGCTTTTGAATATGGAACTGATTATTCTCAGAGATTTAAAGGAAAGCTTTTGAACAAAAAGGCTTTCAAATATAGCTGCTTAATGTAAAAAATCAAGAAAACCCAGAGGTGAAGAGGAAAACTCTTGAATTGGCAGCTTAAAAATATTTTGTTATAGAAGGTGTAGCTTGCAGCCAAAGTAGAAGTGGTCACACAGCAAGCGAAATGGGACCATCGAGGTTCCCGAAGCGGTGAGGCGCGCGACGTCCTCTTTTCACCAAGCCATAGGCCGATGTCGTCGGCGATGCCCACCCTAGGGGCAAATGGGGAAACGTCCGCGGATTGAACCGCGAGGAGTGAAAATGGATACGCGCCAACGTGGACCTGTTCATGACAAATCATGAAATCAGCATGACGGAGAGGTGGTCTTTACAAACCTCTCCCAGTGACCAAAGTCTCGTAGCGCGTAGCGCCATGGACTTGTTCAAAATCCCGAAGATCTTCGACTAAGGTCGCGCCGCTGATCTGGTTCACTTCTTCAAAGGGCGGTGCGATGTTCACGCACCATCGACAGGGATGCACCTGCTCTATGCTGTTTGCATTCGCCAAGCTGCTGCAGTCATGTTGTGCATGCCATACTCTTCCGCGTGGGGTCATGAAAATCCCAATGTTGTGGCCAATGGGACATTCTTGGATGCAGTAAAAGATCTCTCTCTTGCACCTGTTGAGCACGGCCTTTGCTGAAATGTATTCTTGTTGTACCTAATCTGCAGCTTGGAGTTTTGTCGTGTAGATCTCCCGCTCCTCATCCATCTTTCTCTTGTCTTCCAAGCCTTTAACCTTCAGGTCGATCACTTCTTGCAAAGCACGAGCAAGGTCCGTGTCTGTGCTCCACCATTTCTGTTTCCATTCTTCTGCTTCTCCATGTTGTTGTGCCAGTTGTGCTTGTAGTCGTTGGCGTTCACGTCGATGCGTGCAAAAGCCAAAGCCATAGCCAACTAGCATTCCGATCATCAGGACAACTAGGAGCAGAACGCTCAGTGGTGTCCATTCAATGTTCTTGTAGATGACATTGTAGCCGATCGCTGTGGCATACTCCTCAAGAGGGTTCTCAACCTGTTCGTCATAGATTGCCACATCACGTTCACCTGTTGCAAGCTGGTTTTGCGTCGTAACTACCATTGCAACAAGGATCTTCTTCATGTAGTTCATCGAGGTGGTCGGCCTTGTAGGCTCCGTCAATGTCACCTGTTCACTTCCTTCATCATCGTATTCTTTGTGTTGAAGTGTGGAGGTAGGTGGAGGTGAAGACGTGGTAGTGTCGGTAACGTTGGGAGACCTAGTTGAAAACTCTAGCCTGCTTGTTTCCCTGTCACTTGCGGTCTTTTTCTTTGCCGCCGCATAGTCAGGGTCATAGATGAACTTGATCTTGCCATGGCGTAGCCTGTCTGCAATTCTGCAAGGAGTCCACGTGTTTGGTTCTTTGTCAGGCATCGGCAAATTGTCGTTCGCTGGAGATCCAGATGAGGACAGGTCGAAGCGTGGTGATGCTGTGGAGGATCTCCCTGAGACTGCGCTCTGGATGTAGGAAGCTTTCCAGGAACCTGCGCGCGTATTCTGTTGCATCAGCTGCTTGGCCAGCGCTTTGAGCCTCGGCCGAGAGAGAGCTCCGAGCAACTCGTGGGAGCTTGTACGACTTCCAGTCAAGGACGTGGTATGCGAGCTCCTTGTTGAAGGCATCTTGGTGCACTAGGAGAGTGAGGTACCCTCCTTGCGAAGTCTCGTCTGGTCGTACACCATGTGCTGCATCAAACATTGTCACCAGGCGAATGATCTGAGAAGTCATTCATTGGGATGGGCTCGTACTGCAGCGTGATGTCGGAGTTCTTCTTTGCGAATCGCAGCAGTGAATTTGCGTCGACAACCGCCTGCAGCTTGTTCTGAGCCATCTTGCCTGCTATCAGGCTACAGCTGCACTGGAGAGTGGTGAGCTTTGGACTGCGGGCCATTGAAGCGACCCCAGGAGTGCTCTCAACTGGCTGCCGTCATGCTTTATCATCTCCTCCTCTGGTGTCCTGTTGCGGTGAACTGTCACTGGTTTTACTTTGTGGATGTAGTTCTCCTGGTTGAGCTTCCATGTGAAGTCCTTTCTTGTCAGCACGGTCCCACAGTAGGTGATCTCCTTGTTGTCTTCATCCCAGGTGCGGAACTGTGAGATTGGCTCCAGTCCTTCCCCTGATCTGGTTTGTCGTGGGTTTCCCGAAATTAACTAAACAATGGTGTCTTCACACCGTTTTCGTAATTTGGGCTCAAAAAACATGGTTGTTTGATGATAACAAACAATTTTTCATTTACACAATGTTTCAGACATTTCCCAGCATTTTTCAATCTAACCATGTTGAATAAACATATATATAATATATATATATCGCAAGTGGATGCATATATCATATATCTTAGATAAGTAGTCTAGAAACAACCTGATGAAATCAATGAAGTTGGACTCGTTGGACAGACAGACTGACAGACTCTAGTCACTAGTCACAATGATACGCCATTGTCAGCCCATGTCTTTGCTGTTTCTGTCCGCCCGCCATGGACGAGTGAATGTTGCAAAGGCAAGATCAGTGGAGGATCTTGCAGACCCAGCTACCGCAAAGGGCCCAAAAAGAATAAAGCGGGCAGCCCTGCAACAAGCTTGGATTGCGCAGCGTGCTAGAGAGTGTGCGCAGGCAGTGTGCGCAGGTAGCCCCGTTGAGCCAGTGCAATTGGAAGTCGATGAGCAA